TTAGATACAAATCTTATGAGATTTTTTTATAAGAAGTTAGAATCTAAGGATGGAGAGAAAGATGTATATAAGCTTGCTAAGATTAGAGAAATGAGTAGAGATTTGGGTAATATTAGGTGTATTAAAAGCGAAGATCAAAGAGTTCTAGTAACCGATGGAGAAATAGAAGAGAGGTGGAAAAGTTACTTTCAAAAATTATTTAATGATAACCAACAAGCTGTGATACCCCGACACGTGATATTTCATCCCGTACCCGTGTCGGGTACGTTTTGGGTGCGGATCCGCACCTAAACGGCAGAGACATAACAATTTGGAATCACCGGACCAATCGGGTCCGCTATTTGCGCCAAATAACCCAAACCTGCTCCTTAATACCCAGGCCTTTCCTCTTCGAAGCCGATTCTGCCTCCTTTCCTCTTCAAAGCCGATTCTTCCTTTCCATGTCAGAACCTATCAACGGAAGCAGCGCCTCGACGACGGAAGACCGATCTCAAGGGCTCGACTCAATTGCAGCACCTCGACGACGAAAAGCAGCGCCCCGACGACGGAAATCAGTGACTCGACGACGGAAATCAGCGCCTGGATGGCGAAATCAGCGCCTCGATGACGAAATCAACGCCTCTGCGATGACGAAATCAGCGCCTCTGCTCAAAGACGAGGTAAGTTTCTGAGATTTGACTTTTAGGGTTTTTAGGGTTTTGTTTTCTCATTTTCCCTTTGAGCAACTGATGAAGATGACTGAGCCTCTGTGAAGTTGGGCTTTTCCTGAACAAAGCTTGTTTGGCTAAAGTTTTAGGGTTTTTTTAGGACTTTCCTCTATGAACAAAGCTTGTTTGGCTAAAGCTTTTCCTGAACAAAGCTTTTTCTAAACAAAGCTTGTTTGGCTAAAGCTTTGGTACCGTCCTCTGTGAAGTTGGGTTTTTTTAGGGTTTTGTCTAAAGCTTGTTTGGCTTTTCCTGAACAAAGGGTTGAAGTTTGTTAGTGGTGTAGTGAGCTTTCATGCCGAGTCAATTAATAAGTTCTACTTAGGCAATTAATAAGTTCTGCTTAGGCATGTAGCTCGTTTGGCTTTTCCTGTTTTATTGCATGCTGCAAATCTGCAATAGGAACTTGTTAGTGCTTTCCTGAACAAAGAGTTGAAATTATTTTTAATGCTTGTATTTGTTTATATAGATAATTGTATTAGGTCTAAATTGTTAATTAAAGTAAAAATAGCTTTCTATTTCTTATATGTAAGTATTTTCTTGTTAATAATTGTAGAGAATTAAATGAAGACTCCAAGTTCACAAAGCGAGCTAGAGGATGATAATGCTCTTCTTTGGAGATATGTCACAAAACTCGGAAAAGCAACGGGAGGGGGTGGAAATTAGGAATGACAATGCAATTATTGTCTTGAAACTTTTAAAAGTTCTTATTCAAGAGTAAAAGCACATCTCTTACGACATCCATTATTTGGAATCAAGTGTTGTACAAATGTGAAGAATGAAAATATTGTGGAGATGAAGAAAGTGTTGGAGCTAGCGGAGCTTAGATTGAAGGCAAAGAAGGGCAAGAGTGTTCCATTACCTACATCAAGAACAACCATCACAAAAGAAGTTGCTAAGAAGAGAAGAAGTGAGGGGAACACCATAGAATAATCCTTTAATCATGAAGCCCGAGATCATCTACATGGTCTCATTGCTCGAATGTTTTACATAGGGGGTTTATCATTCAATTTGGCAAGAAATCCATACTTCATCGAAGCTTTTAAATATGCCACAAGCAATTCGCTTGGAGGTTATATCCCTCCCGGATACAATCTTCTAAGAACAAGCATCTTACAAAAAGATAGGGCACATATCGAGAAGTTATTAGAGCCCATAAAATTAACATGAAAAGCAAAGCGTGTTTCCATTGTTAATGATGGGTGGTCGGACTCACAAAGAAGGCCTCTCATTAATGTGATGGCGGTGACCGAAGATGGACCGATGTTCTTGAATGCCATCAATGCGGAGGGGAGGACTAATAACATGGATTATATAGCCGATATTCTCTTAAAAGCCATTGAAGAGGTTGGTCTTCATAATGTTGTACAAGTCATAACCGATAATGCATCGGTTTGCAAATCCGCGGGAGGCATTGTGCAAGGAAGACATCCTCATATTTTTTGGACTCCATGTGATGTCCACACTCAATCTTACCTTAAAAAATATTTGTGTGGCGAAGAATACCGAAAGGAATGAGTTAGTGTATGAGGAATATAGTTGGATCACCGAAGTTAGCGATGATGTTGTTATTATAAGAAACTTCATAATGAATCATGCCATGAGATTGTCAATGTTCAATGAACATGTGAAGTTAAAAATGCTTGCTATATCTAAAACTCATTTTGCTTCGGTTGTTATCATGTTGTGACGATTTAAGAAGATCAAACGTGGTCTTATGGACATGATCATTAGTGAGAGTTGGAGTGTTTATCGAGATGATAATGTTAGGAGGGCTCAATTTGTTAAGAACAAAGTTTTGGATGATATTTGGTGGGACAATTTTGGATGATATATGGTGGGATAAAATAGAATATATAACATGGTTCGATCCGTCGACACCGACAAGTCAAATCTTCACTTAGTTTATGATATGTGAGATTCTATAATTGAAAAAGTGAAGAATTGCATTTATAGAAAAGAAGCAAGAGAGATGATGAATATTCATCATTTTACAATGTGGTACATACTATCCTTGTTGATCGGTGGAATAAGAGCAATACACCATTACATTGCTTAGCTCATTCACTAAACCCAAAATGAGTATTTTTTCTTTAAATAAACTTTTAATCTATATTGGTTAGACTTTAATAGTTGATATTATTTGTGAATGTTTTTCTATCTTGTAGATATTATAGCGCGACTTAGCTCATTAAAGCCCCGAATCGAGTTACACTACACATGGATTCCGAGATCTCAAATGAAAGAGCTAAATGCTTGAAGAGTTATTTTCCTAACTCCGAGGAGCGGAGAATGGTTAATGTGGAATTTGCTAAATTTTTCGCCGCACAAGATATATTTGCGGATCATGACTCTTTGGATGATAGGGGAAAATGGATGCAAAGTCATGACGGGTTGTCTATGGAATATCTACACCAAAATTGCAAGAGTTAGCATTAAGGTTGATTGGGCATCCTTGTTCCTCTTCTTGTTGTGAGAGAAATTGGAGCACTTAAAATTTTATTCATTCTCTTAAGAGGAATAAGATGACTCCACAACGAGCGGAAGATATGGTATATGTTCACACAAATCTCCGTCTTCTTTTTAGGAGATCCTCAGAATACTCTAAAGGGGAGACAAAGATGTGGGACATAGGAGGAGATGAATTTGAATCATTCAATGGTGTCGACATTTAGAAGTTTACACTAAGAGTCAACCTTAAGTCCTTATCTTTTTGCATTAGTTATTGACCAACATACTAAGCACATTCAAGATGGAATCTCATGATGTATGTTATTTACGGATGGTATACTATTAATTGACGAACTAGAAGATGTATAATTTCTAAAATAGAAATGTGGAGACAAGTCCTTGTATCTAAAGATTTTAGAATTAGTAGATCAAAAACAAAATATGCGGAGTGTATTTTTAGTAAAACTAAGAAAAGAAAAGAACCTATAGTACATATTGATGGTCAAAAAATATCTAAATGTAATCATTTTCACGCCATGATAATGAGATTGAGAAAGATGTTGTCCATCGAATGAAATCGGGATGGTGAAAATAGAGGAGTACTTTGGGAGTCTTATGTGATTGTAGAATACTAGTAAAACTAAAGGAAAATTTTTATAGGACGGTTATGAGACCAACAATGCTTAATGGTCAGAGTGTTGGGCAATTAAAAATATATGCAAAAAATGAGTGTAGCCGAAATGAGAACGTTGCGATGGTCTTGTGAGTATATACTAAACGATAGGGTGAGAAATGAGTGCATCTATAGTAAATTAGATGTTACTCCTATTGAGGATAAAATGAGAGAATCAACTAAAATGGTTTGATCATGTATAACTGAGACCTCTTAGTACATCGATTAGAAAAAATAATAGTATTATAGTTAATGGGGCTAGGAGATCTGGATGTAAACCTAAAAGAACTTGGTTAGAAGCTATTAAGAAGGATATGAATATGATTAACTTAATGGAGGAGATGTCCCATAATAGAATGAAATGGAAGAATATGATTCATGTAGCTAACCCTAAACATTCGGGATAAAGGCTGTGACGTTGTTGTTGTAATGTGCTTGAATAGTTGTTGCTTTATGAACTCTTTTCTCCTAAAGTCAATGTATGTTCATTATTTAATATCTGGTTGTTACTTGCTATATTCAGTTCTACTGTACCTTCATTGGTAATTCTGTCAGTACTCCTCCAAAATTTTTTGTTGAGTAATTGAACTAAGATGCCAATATAATCTCAAAATAGCTAAAATCTAAGAGAGGATGTTAACGTCTATAAATTTGTATTGTTTTGACTCATGGCCTTAGAAGTTATTTGACTTTAGACTAGGTAGTCAAGTATTTACTTCCAGTTTTTTTATTAAGCCTTGAATCTTCTTTTTTGTTGGTACCACTAGTACTTTGCTTTGTGAAGTGGGCATGTGTACTGATGAACTGGTTAGGTCAATTATAATTTATCCTGTTCAATCTGATATATAGTTGCTAGTATGGCTTGTACTATTTTTTAGAAAATTGAGGTAATTGAATTTACTTTATTTGAAGTAAATTGTCAGGGACTTCTTAATGTTGAAAATTGAGGTAAATTGTGCTCCTTGTTGAAAATATCAGGGACTTCTTAATGTTTTTAGGTGAGAATATAAACTCACTAGCTTATGCAGTTTCTGCTATTCTCTTTTAAAGCTCAAGTGCTACGCCTTATGCTTTTTTCTTTTTTCTACATTAGTTCCTACTTTCCGGTGCTGCTTATATGCATACTTTTTCGGTCAGAAAGACTTCTTGTTTTGGAGAGATCTTCTATGCACATGTGTTGCACTTAATTTTTTCACAAATACCTAATTCAACTAGTATCTTAATCAATTTTATTACATTCCTAATTGTTTAGTTTGATTGAGTGATAGGAAAGATAGATGGTCCAGCATGAACAAATTTGTTGTCAGGTTAAAGAAAAGATTTCAATATTGAGAGTAACTAGTGCTTAAATGATCAGAAGATTTACTGCTCGTTAAGTAGTTTATGAGTTATACACACATTACACTCCACAAGGCTATCATTGTCAGAAAGCAGGGTGTTCCATAAATCAACTAGATGCTGTTTTATGATTCTAACTTTCTTCTTCTCTATTGGTAGATTGGAGATAAAGGTCTTATCAAAGTTGGTGAGAACTGTAAATTTCTTACTGATTTGAGCCTCCGATTTGTTGATAGGTGAGCGACTGCTATACTCCTTTTAAAGTGAAATAACACCCATCAATTTCTTCTTGTTTAATATGGCATATTCTCCAGTTCGAACACCTTTACTTGGTTGGTAATTCATGCTCAACTGATTGGTATTATCGTAAGATGATTGCTTCCTGTTTTATCCTCTGAATGTTTTCTTGTTCATGTACTTTTGTACGTATGAATCTTTTTAATCAGAAGAAATCCTGGGTTATTGCCTAGTTAGGCAAGATATTTATTTTTATTAAATGAATTTTACAATATAACTGAAAGCTTAATGTACTTTCTTTTCACTCATGGTACCTGTGTTTTATGCAAATTTTCACGTTGACGAATAGTGGCATTCATATTCTTTTCATGATTACCTTCATCTTGGTTGAGATATGTTGACCCTACTCCAAGAAAGTCCTTCAAGAGGGTTATTCTCCTCTTGACTCACTCATGTATCAGCT